TGAGGGAGAATGTGTGTGGGGTGGGGGAAGGAGAAAAATAATAATAGCAGCCCACGCAGACTGCGCACTGACTGTGTGCCAGGCACTGGTCTAAGCACTTCGTGTGCATTGTTTCCTCACATCTTTGCGAGCAGCCCTCAGTCAGCTGCAATCATGCATCACTTAATGGTGGGGATGCGTTCTGAGAAGTGTGTCGTTACTGTGTGAACAGCATAGATTGTGTCGTCATTGTGCGAACATCAAAGAACGCACTCACACCAGCCTGGATGGTATATCCTACTGTGCGCCTAAGCTGTTCGGAATAGCCTGTTGCTCCCAGGCTACAAACCTGTACAACACGGCACTGTGCTCAGTGCTGTAGATCATTGTAACACCATGATTTGCGTATCTAAACATAGAAAAAAGCGCAGTAAAAATACAGAATAAAAGATAACAGATGGTACACCTGTGCAGGGCTCTTATCGCGGATGGAGCTCGCAAGCCCGGAAGTGGCTCCGGGTGGATCCGCGAGAGGGCGGGCGTGCGTGTGGCGGCCTCGGACGTCACCGTCCCCTCCGCAGACTGTGAACCCCGTGCACTTGGGCTGCACTAAGTTTACAAGAAATATTTTTTGTCCTTCAGTAATAAATTGATCTGCGTTCACTGTAGCTTTTTACTTTATATGCTTATAATTTTTTTCACTTTTCAATTCTTTTGTAATAACAGCTTAGAACACACACGCATTGTACAGCTATACAAAATATTTATTTCATTATATCTTTCTAAGATATTTATATATATATATTTTTTTACTTTTTAAACTTCTTAAAAACTAAAACACAAATGTGCATGTTAGCCTCAGCCCTCAGGGGCAGGGGCGGAGGTGGGCAGGATCACCAACATCGCTGTCTCTGCCCCCATGTCCTGTCCCACTGAGGGGGTTGGGGCAGCGACACCCCTGAAGCCACGGTCTCCGGGAGCCCCTCCCAAGGGGCCTGCCCGAGGCTCTCCCTGAGGAGATGCTGCTCATTGCAGAAACCTGCCGTGGTGGTTTGCTTGGTTTCCCTCTTTCTTCTTTTTTTTTTAAAAATCACGGATTTGCTTGTAAGAAGATAATGGACCATGAACATTTCCCTCTATTACTGAAAACCTTCTGGTGCTGGGGACCATCTTTTCAAACTTTTACAGAAGCTTGTTGACATTGGCGAAAGCTTCTGCTAAACACTTCACTGTATGATCTTAGGGGACCACCGTCACATACGCAGTCTGTCATTGACTAAAACGTTGCTGTCCCCATTCTACAGATGAAGAAACGGAGGCATGGAAGGTTGAATACTAGCTTATTGTCCTTTCATTGTAACTGTAACTTAGCTCACCCCATTATCTACGACCCTGGCCTCTCCCCAGGGGTGGAGGTGCAGCTGCCCTCCAGCACATTGTCCCCAACCAGTGGTGTGTCCCCGACCAGGGTGTCTAAGACCCTGGTAAAAGGAGAGAGTGAGGGGGATGGCCTCTGTGTGGAGGGTGAAAGAGACACAGTCATCACAAGGACCCTCCCCCGGGCCTGAGGATGCCCTATAGATAATAACGGCAAGACTCATACCGCACTTATTAGATGTAGCTCAGGCTCACGCTCTGGGTCCTTTGTCAACTCATTTTGTCCTCACACACAGCCCGAGGCCCATCCTGTCACCGTCCCCATTGAACAGATGGCGACTGACGCAGAGATGGTAGTCACTGGTCCGGGGTCTAGAGTTACTAGGTAGCATCGCTGCATGCAGACTGGCTTTCTGGGTGCAGTCTGTGCTCTTACCGCAGCCCCAAGCTGCTTCTCGCTACGAATGCCTCTAGCGCTTGGGATGTTAGAAGCAGGACCAAGGCAGGGCAGTAGATCGGGAGAAGCTAAGAGAATAGTGGTTCAAATTTCTCAGTGGGGCTGGGAAAGAGCCTGGCGCTTAGTCACACAGCCCATCAGAGCCAGCCTCTGATTCCCTGTCACCAACAGCAGATGGCTGTGGAGCAGGAGAAAGAGGGACTCAACAAAATGCACCCATTTCTAGTTGCAGGAACCAGAGAAGAGGGAGGTCAGGGTGGCAGAACCCGAACTCAGGCCCTCCTAGGGGGTCAGCTGGTGTGGGGGCAGGGGTGGTGGCACATGGGGCTGGGATCAGGAAGAAGGCCCTGGGAGCAGTGGCCATATAAACGCTTGCCTGCTGTAGGAGGGCTGCCCCGCTGGGCAGCACTGGAGTCCTGGAGTGGTACACAGTCACCCCAGCCCCAGGAGGAGCGAGGGTCTCACCTCCGGCCGTCCCTCCTCAGGGGACGCTCCCTGCAGCACCCCTGTCCCACTCCCACCCCATTAGGTACACACACAGTGGCCCAAATGCCAAATATGGCCATCTGAGCCTTGGGTATCAATATTTCATGCCTCAAAAAACACTGTCTAAACAATACCTATGATATATGAATGGATTGAGGTTTTGACAAGCCAATAGTCCAGGCCTAATACCAGGGCAATGAGAGTGGGGGGGATAATGAGGTCTGGAGGGACCACAGGGGCAGCAGCCACATCCCTGGAGTCAGGCCAAAGCTTTGTGGGATGACTGACCTCTGTGTGTAAGGACACAGGGAGCCAGTGCGCTGGATATGGGGCTGAGCTGGGGGAAAGGCAGTGTGGAGCCTGCCTGGTGCACCTGAAGGCCCTTCCCTTCCAGCTAGGGACAGGGTGCAGGAGGTGGGTCAGTGGTCAGGTCTCTAGGGTCAGAAGTGTCAGAGAAAGGTGAGGGTTGGCAGGGTGCTGGTGGTCATCCTTCTCCCTCCATCTGGCCTTGAGCTCCTCCAAGCCCCTCACCCTGTAGGGTGCTTCTCTGGCCTCTCCAGCTTGCACCCTCCCTGGGGTCAACCACACCACCCCTGCGTTACTCCCACTGGACTGGCTTCCCCAGCCCCTGAGCCAACTGGGCAGGGGAGGACCTTCCGCCCAGGTGACCTGTGCAGGCCCCATGGCCTTCGGCACCTCTCACCTCCCTCCACCTTCAGAAGCCTCTGTCTCCAGGGGTCCTATCCCCAAGCTCTTCCTCCTGGTAAAGAGGCCGCAATGCCCACAAGGTCCAGGGCACTTGGGCCTCAGTTTCTCCAGGTATAAAGTGAAAGAGTTGGACATGTTTCCTCTGACACTTGGCAGGTTCACAGGTCACTGCCTGCCCTTCTACCCACACTCTGCAGAACCCCTAGGGATCAAGGAGCTGCTCTCTGAGGTCAGAAAGCAGGTGGAGGTGTCTCGAGCTAACCTGACAGGCTGATGGGAAGGGTCTGCTGGGAGACAAGCGGACCCAGCTGTGGAGCATGTGCGGCCCTCAGACTGTGGGTGTGCGAGATGGAAGGAAGAGGGAGCGGCTGAGGCCAGAGCTGAGCGCTGGCTGGGCCCAGTCACGGGATGGGCAGGGTCACCCGGTGTCCAGCGTGTACTGGGAACATTGCCTCATTCAAGCTTGTTTGGAAAGTCCAGCACAGCACTTAGAGCCAGGGCAGCAGGGATGACCAGCTGGGGTCCTGTTAGCAGCCAGGAGAGCTGCTTACAGTAGTTCTCAGAGGAGCTGGTCCTCAGGGTCAGAGTCCAGCCCGGCTCCCCAGCCACAAGTGGGTTGTCTGGCAGGTCCCGGAGCGCCAAGCGAGGGGCTGTGGCAGTCTTCAGCACAACAAGCTCCCTTCCCAAAAGCCACTTGTACAAATGAGGACTCAGGTGCCAGGGCTCTCCCCAAATACCCCACACCCCAGTCTCTCAGGGTATGGGCTGACTGCAGACCACTCACTAGTGGGGCATCTGACATGACTCTTCTGGGTCTGCCTGGGGGGCGGGGCCAAAGCTAAGGCAACAACTTCAGCGTCAGCACCTGTGTTTGGGAGGAACCAGAGAACCCACACCAACCACAAACTGGGCTTTGTTGTCTAACCTCTTGGTGGCCATTCAGGCCAGGCCATGGGTGTGGAAGTGGGGTGGGTGTTTGGAAATCAGGGGCGGCCTTCACTATCCGGGGCCACCGCTGCTCCTGGCTGCTGCCAGGCAGACAGAAGCGTTCTAGCTGCTCGCTCCCTCCTGAGACATCTACAGGGTGGCTGGTAGCTGCTGGTTTCCTGAGCTCACAAACTTGGCAGGGGTGGCCGTGGGGGTTTTCTGTAATCCTTCACTGATGGGTGAGATGGCAGGGCAGAGCTCGTGGAGCAAGATGACCTTGAGAAAACGTGGGTGTCTGAGAAAGAGAGCCATCGGCTCCCTTCCTCACACCGCTGCCGAGGAGCCTGCTGGGCGCTGGAGCCCTCGATGGGAACTCCGCTGCCGCTGCCGCTGCCTCCCAGCTCCAGAGGCTGCAGCGTTTGCATGATAAGAAATTGCCAGGCACTTTCTAATTACAATTATCATCATCATGGATGTCTTTCTTAATTACTTTCTTATAATTAGATGTTGCCTTTTCCTCAGCATTTGTATACTGTGCTGATTGATGACATTTGAGAGCCCCAAAATAGGGACATTTGGGGAGGAGGGCAGGCAGGTGGGGGAAAGGGAAAGGAACCTATTCTTTTCTGGTGACCCAACCCGATAGGTTTCAGGGCCTTTGCAAAAAGAAACTGGGCAAAGCAAATGATGGACACGATGGGTCATTCCCCGCGCAGATGCAGAAAGAGCCAGAGTGTTGCATTTAGGAGTTGGGCTTTGCAGAGGGTCTCTCAGTGTTAAGCCTGGCAGGAAATATTCTTGAAAAGCCACCAAAACTGCCATTTTTCAGGCACGGGTTTCATTTTAGGAAACGAGGCTGGGATGAAGTGTGCCCTTGTGGGCTGTGTTTCGGAGTTAATTAAATAACTGAGGTCTGGAGTAGCTGGAGTTTTCTCCAAAGCTGGTGATGCGTTCTGCACATCCCTAGGCCTCAGGGAGCCTTGCTGAACTGGTTTATGCTCCTTGACCAGATGGTTGGTTTTCATCGCCTGTTCCTTCCTTCCTCCCTCTCTCCCGGCCCCTGCAGCCCTGTGTACGGAGGAGTGTGTGCATGGCCGCTGCGTCTCCCCGGACACCTGCCACTGCGAGCCCGGCTGGGGAGGGCCCGACTGCTCCAGTGGTGAGTTTGGGGGTGTTCGGGGGTTGCGGGGGGGCCCTGGCTCTGGCTCAGAAGGGCCTGTGCTGAGTACATGCTGAATTCTTTTGTTGGGCTGCAGCTGCCTAGGCAAGCGGGGCGTCAGGGAAGAGGCACGCCTGCAGTTTGTATAGGATGGGACTTGGGGTGGGGGGTTCAAGGGGCATGGGGGTGATGGTTTGTGGAGATCTGGAGAGGCACTGTGTGTTGGGGGAGGCTGTGGGATCATCTGAGCCACTTGGCCTTTTGATGAAACACCTCTAGATATGGTCTTTGAGGGTCGGAGTGAAACTGAGATGCCGCCAAAGGGCACAGACCCAGGAGGTCCCTGTGGTCAGGGCCTGGCCCTTAGCTTTGCTAGTCCAAAGGCTGGGTTTTGTGGGCACCCACAGAGGCTCAGGAGACTGATTCATGAGACTGGTGGACGTTGGGATGCCTCTGTGTCCCCAAAGGTAAGAAAATGGGACACTTACTGGGGCGAGTCCCTGTGTTCCTCCATCCCTCTGGGGAAGGCTTCCTGGTAAGCATGGGGGTGAGGCGGATGCTTTTGGGACCAACCAAGTGATCACAGCAGCCCGGGGTATGTGTACCGTGGGGCTGGCCATTGAGAGGACGGGGCGTTCCCGACAGCTGCTCAGGCAGTTCTCTGCCAAGAGCCCAGATGAAGGCAATCCTTCCCCTCTGGCTCATCCCCCTAAATACTTGCAGGTGACTCCCTTTCCATTGGCACGTCTTGCAATCACTGATAGGTTAAGATGTGGTCTTGTTGGATTTTGAAGAGGCTTTGATTAGTGTTGCAGCCCATTTTCTTCCTGATCTGAGTGGGGTAGAATGTCTTCTTTATTGTGACCCGAGCAGAGAGCATAGCTAAGCTGATCCATCAGGGCCCTTGCCCCCATCACTGCCCCATCTTTGGGAGCCCCTGTCCCGTCGTGACTGTGGTAGTGATGGAGAATTGGAGAGGGGAAAGTGCCATGGCAGCCCAATGTGGCACTTTTGCCCTTTTCCTGTTCTCTCTGCTGGGGTGGAAACATCTAGTTATGGTCCTTTTTCCAAAGGCCTTAGCTGGGGCCTCCCTGTCTACCCAGTGCATGAGCGCTTACCCACAAAGCAAGGCTATTGGATGTGATTTTGTTTTGCACCTGAAGGTTCTCTTGGATCAGGGAGTCCAAGATCTCTTTGGGTTCAAGAGACTCTCTCCAGTGTGTTGGTGCCTGTGGTAGCCTCCTCCTTCCATCTGTTTCACTGTGTTGGAGTGGGCCATGCTGAGACACAAGGCTAGGGACTCATCCAGACGTAAAGAGCAAACCTGAGGGACAAACAAGTTAAAGGAATGTGCTCAGCCAGTCTTTCTGTGAACTCGAGGAAACACGTTGGTTAAAACACTTGAGAGCTTTCTCCCCCTTGTCCGTGTTCTGTTTTGTGTAATTTTTCTTACAATGAATCTTTGATGAAGAACTAGCTAACCTGGCTTAGGTGAGCTCTGCTGGGACAGGGCTGCTTGCTGCTGCTGGATTATAATGTCAACAGCAGCCTGTCGGAGGCTGAAATACAGGCTGAGTCCCAGAAGCCCTGAGTGCGTGTAAATCACCATCAGAGCCGGGGTGTCTGGTGCTCGTGATATGCTAGGCCATGCTGGGCAGGGGGGCAGCCCCGGAGGGTCTTTCAGGCACAGTCTGTGTCTCTCGGGGTTTCTGGTCTGGGGAAAGAACTGGAAGAAAGGCAGCACTCGATGACCTTCCCTCTGGAGAGAGTTTATCAAGCATAGAGGGAAACAACCTTGTTTCTTCATATTAAAAACCTGGGCTCCCTAACATCCCCACCCCCAGTGCAGTCATCAGACACAGTGCTGAGCAACCCACAACTATTTCTGCAACAAACCCAACCTCCTGGGGTGAAGAATCACCACCCCTGGGTCTACACAAAGGCAGGTGCGGCTAAACCCACAGGGAGTCCCAGAGGATGTGTTCCAACCCTGTTTCCAGGGACGGCCACATTAAATGACAGGAATTCGTAGACTCCCGCTCTGAAACCACTCAGAGCGAGGCCTGAGTAGACGCCCTGCCGTGAGCTTTCTGACCTCTGCCTGTACCTCCCCCGCTGACAAGGAGCCCGCTGCCTCCTGTGGAAGCACATTCTGGCCACTGGCAAGTCTTCCCTTCTCTCGGGTGGAAATTTATCTCTATTTTCTACCAGCTGGTTCTCACTCATGATAACGGCTAGGGCAGCCATGACCCTCCTTTCCATGTTTTGAATTCCATCCAAGGAGCTTAGTGAACAAGGCCACAGGTGTGTAGGGAAAGGTGGTCATCTCAGAGTAGGTGATAATAGCCGCTGGGGCCACGTAGAAGAAACCAGAGTCACCTGCCATGGAGCAGCCCTTCACATATTTGAAGACAGTGAGCTATCACTTCCCTCCCCCAGGTTTTTATTACCCAAGCTCCTTTGTTTCTCATATCACGTGGCCTGAGCCACCTTCTCCATCTGGCTGCAGCCTTTACTCCTTTTAAATGATTATTCCTGGATCTGACCACACAACGGCAGGATTGTGTGGGAAAATGGTAATAAAGATAGTGCTACTTATTGAATTGTACTCTGCACTAGGCACTTTATCCTCTCATTTAGTCTTCACAACAACTCTGTGGCATAGGGATTATTATTAGCCATCTTTTACAGTTAAGAAAGTTGAAGCACAGAGGTTAAATGACCTTCGACAGACACACAGCTAGTAAATGGTAAGACTGGGACTCTCAGTCGATCAAAACCCTAGGGCCTAAACCCAAACACTTAATTATGCTCTCCTTCCTTCTGGATGCTCAACTTCTATTAATACAGCCGCAGGTTGAAATTGATCGGAAACCATAGGCGCCCACAGGGGAAGGAAGGACCTGCTTGAAAGATGTGGCCCTGAGATACTGTTGTGGAGACAGAGGAATTAGCCAAGGAACGGAAATTGTGACTAGGGTTACTCCAAGCAATTCGAGGCTGTGAACGCCTGTCTGCCCACATGTGCTCTGCAGCGCCACCCTGGGGTCTTTGTGGGAACTGTGTCTGTGGGGGTGGGGCCCCGGTCAGTGCAGTGTGGATCTCTGGAGGTTTCTGAATGGGACCCGGCTGTAGACGTGTTTCTACAGGTGATGTTCTTGCAAGGACGTTTAATTGAAAGCAGCATTCTTGTTTTCTGATTCTGAAAATTCTACCTATTTATGTTAAAAAGAAGATGCAAACTGCACAAAAGTATAGACACAAAAGACTAAGCCGACATACCCAGGGATAACTTCTGGCATTTGGGTGCTTTCCCTCCCAGTTACTTCTCCACACCCTTGCACTGAGAGCCAGGTCCGGACACAGCCTACATTATTTAGATCAAATGTATGTGCTATTCTGTGCCTTGCTTTTTTAACTTAACTTTATGTCATGTATTCATTTTCTTGTCAATAAACATGACCCTCCCTTCGAATGTTTAACGGCCTGATAGAATTTCGTTCTGTGCATTATTACCAAAAGTGCTTAACCAGCCTCTTGTTGATGGCCACTTCGGTTGTTCCCAATTTTCCACTCTTTGAGGCCCACCATCCGTTGTCCAAGATCCTTAGGGCCTGCTGGTTTCAAAATTTATACTTTTCCAGAGTTTAGAAAGGTATATTGTGACTATATCATCTACGACATGGGCCCCCAGTGGGGTCTAGGCACTGCCCCACAGTGAAATACAGTAAGACTTCTGCAGTGACATATAAGGGACTGCATCTCGTGATGACGGCTATAAATCAGTTCTGTGAAGACTGCGCCTATAAATGAATTTTGGTGCTGACCTTAAAAATTTTCTTTTCCTTTTGGACTTTCTAGAAATTTTGGGTGTTGGGCATGGGGATAAGGGACTGTGGCCCTGTGTAAAAATACTGCAGTGATTCTTCCTGTGCATAAATCTTTGCCCACTTGTTCCAATTTCTTCTTAGGATAAATTCCTGGAAATGGCAAGGAGGGCTGTAAAGATCCGCCAGCCTGCTGCCTGCCCCGGCCCTGCCCTTTGCGGCTGCCGGCGGGATTGATGGCTCCCAGAGCTGTGAAGGGGAGGAATCCAGCACGGGGGTAGGGGCGGGGGTTTCTCATTCTCTTCCAGACCTATAACCCCACAGCCTAACTTCTTTAAGGCCTGGACTAATTTCTCTCTGCTCCATAAAAGAAGTGAGGTGATGCTCATTTGCCTGATAGGTGGACACACACGAGCTACTGTGGGTAATTCTGAGATGCTGGAGGGACCGATGTGGGGAGATGGAGTGGCCGCGCGCGGGTCATAAACCCCCATCCCATATAATAATGGAGAAGAAAAGGATGAAATGTCAGTCTCCCCTGAATAAAGACTACAGAGTGACTCTTATTAAATTGCACTAATCTCACAAGTGGAGATAAAAAGAAAAAAGTTTTCCTATATTGAATATCCAGCTTTTTAAAGTAATTAGGAATATTAAAGCACTGACAATGATTGAGATAGAGGCATTATTCATAACTTTTATTTCCGCACTGGGCAGTGATCCAGTATATTTCATTTATGAGGTTTAGCTGTAAGGAGAAGGACGTGAGCCAATTCCTAAATTAAATATGCCCTGTTAAGTTTTATAAATGTTACCAAAGAATCAACTTGGAAATTTAAGCCTTCAATGTATTATTTAATTATTCCATTTCTCGGTCCCGCTTCCCTGCCTCCATCTCACGGTGCTCGGAAGCTCGGGTTCTGGGCTGTAGAATAACGTTTTGGTTTGGGGCTCAGGCCTCCCCAGAAGGGCTGGGTTAGGCAAGACAGAGAAGCCCCCCTCCACCCCCCAGCACTTCCTCACCATTTCTCACATTCTCCGGTTCCCACAAACTGGCTTTGCCCGGATGCACAGAGTGTTGGCCGGTGAAAGCTCACCACACAGTGTCTGACTGTCAGTCAGAACTGCCCCTCCCCCCGGTGCTGGGCAGGAGGCCGGACTGCGGAGCAGGCC